CTGCACTCACAGAGCTCAGGCAGTGTTGTATTTCGGTGTCAATGTTGACTTTTGTGGAGAGGTGGCTGCCAAGGTAGCGGAAATGGTCAACATTTTCTAATGTTATACCATGAAGCTGTATTTCTGGCATTGCAGAGGGATTGGCTGGCAACTGCTGGAAGAGCACTTTGGTTGTCTCGATGTTCAAAGCGAGGCCGAGCTTCGTATGCTTTTGCAAAGGTGTTTCGAGTGGCTTGTAGGTATTCTGAATGCGCACAGTCTATGTTATCCACGAGAAGATTCATTTTTTCCTCTCAAACAATGGGAAGATTTTCTGTTCCATTATAAATCATGGGAAGATTTTCTCTTCCATTTCATTTTATGAGCAAATAAGCTTTCTTTAAGCAAATTACATTTCATGTAGATGTCTGTAAGAAATCAACATAGTTCCTTTGTATTTAATGCATTTCTAACGTGCTCTGTATTTTTGTTTGAGCGACTAACAGTGGTTTTAAATATCACAATTTTAAGATCTTGAAGAGGATTAACTTTCCTTTAATGATACTCTTTTAACATCTCTGTCATTAATCTTGTGGTTTTTGAGATTAAATAGGACTGTGCCAGACTTCCTGGGCTCACAGTTTAACTCACCTTACGCTGAAGGCGATAACGTATGCCATTTCTGAGCAATTAAGGGCATTTCTAACTCCAGCAAATAACAGTGGAAGTACAGTGTTAAAGGTGCCGTATTGTTACATTTTCCTCAGATTTCAATGGGAGGAAAAACGATGGCACAAAAGTGAAAGGTTAATAGTAATCATGTTACATTAGTGAACACTGAAACCTCTCAAGAAATATAAAGAAAATTATTTCCTGATGGAATTTTCAGTAGGTGAGGTCTCTTACAATTAATTTCACTTTGATACTCATTTCTTGATAAATATTTATAACATCTCCAGTACAAGCTGCAGAAGCTTTAATATTGCATGTACAGTGATACCTGTATTCTTTTTGTCCAAAATCACCAGCCAAAATGATTAGGTAAAAGCAGATAACCATGTCTCTGTACCAGAGATTGAAAAAATTACTTTTTTTGGACTATGACTACCAGAATATTTCAGCAGCATAGTCACTAGTGAGGAATTCTAGGAGATGCAGTTTAAGAAAGCTCTGTTTTATACAAGCAAACATGTGGTATAAGAACTGTAATATATTTTTTACTCCAAAATGTTTAGAAAGGATAGTTTCATATAAAAATGTCCAAGTTTAAGGAGGTATTAATGTTGGGTTTCATCCCTGGACTGCACACATCTTTTGTGTCATCAAGCTTCCAGACCTCAATGAGTAGCTAGACTAGAGATAGGATTAGGCTGAGGGATTCCTCCCCCCCCCCCCACATTCCTATACATGTTCCCCAAAAGACCTTTGTCTTTACTCTTCCTCCTTACCATTGTCTCCTTCCTTTTGATGATGTAGTATTGGAATTCTGTGAGGGAACTTCCTTTTTAAAAGTTTTTTTATTGTTTGCTTTGAGGATGCACATTTTGTCTCTCTAGGCAAAATGTAGCTGCATGGACTTGTTACCCTTTTACCTCTTTAGAAGTTTTATTTATTTATTTACAATATTTATATTCCACCTTTTTCACCCTGAAGGTGAGGACAGAGCACAGCATATATACAACAAACATTCAAGAACAAGAATGCATGCATAAACATTAAAAACATTTGTCTCAATATTAAAATACACTGTTTAAAACCATCTTGATCATCTGCGTATAATCCAATTGGCCTGGTAATGTTTCTTATCGCTGCTTTATTACCCTGTCCCGAAAGCTTGGTCCCACAATTAAGTTTTTACCATCCTTTTGAAGGACAGGAGGGAGAGGGCCAGTTAAATCTCGCCAGGAAGGGAGTTCCATAGCCAGGGGCAATCACCAAGAAGGCCCTTTCTCTTGTCCCCACAAATCGCGCCTGTGACAAAAGTGGGACGGAGAGCAGGGCCTCCTTGGAAGATCTTAATATCTATGGTGGTTCATAGGGGAAGATACAGTTGGACAGGTAAATTGGGCCGGGGTCATTTAGGGCTTTATAAGCCAAAGCCATCACTTTGAATTGTTCCCGGTAGCAAACTAGCAGCCAGTGGAGCTGGCATAACATGGGAGTTGCATGCTCCCTGTATGCCGCCCCAGTTATTAACCTGGCTGCCTCTTGTTGGACTATTTGAAGCTTCTGAGCAGTCTTCAAAGGCAACCCCTGTAAGCTAGTTAGGTCTAAGACCTTTTTCTATCAGGAATGTATTTCTTTTCTTCAATAAGTATTTTTGAACCTAAAGTTCTGACTCTGCAATCCTGTGCCATCCTAAGAAACAGAAGCTTATACCATCTCATCACTTGTAAGTCTTTGCTGGTTATGAAGTTTACTTCGGGTACTCTGCTATATTTATGGTGGAATCACCCCGACTGAGGGATATTTTGAGCCTAACAGCTCAGAAACCCCAACAATTAAAGACAAAAGCCAGAACAATATGAACCTAAAATTGTATCCCTTTGTCAGGTTTGCCCACATAAACTAGGGTGATTGATGTATTTTCCCAGTGATATATAATCTGACTTGGCAACCTTCTCTTTCTTTGCTATTAATCATTCATAATCTAACTATGGTATCAAAGGCATACTTTTCTCTCCATACTACTGACTGAGTTTAAATCTCTTGCTACATACCCTGTCCATTATCATGTTTAGCTGATTTAAAGCTTTTAAAATATAATTAGACTGGTTTTGTCTATAGAGCAAGGGCTTACTTATCCTTTATTAAAACATAGGATATATTTGAGCTTTGAGTTAACCAAAATTTATGTTGTAATTATGTAAATTAGTAGTACCAATACAAAAATCTTTGCTCTATGGTAAAATGGAACATGCTTTAAGCATTAGCCAATCAAGCATTGGAAATTGGTCACTAAACGTGCTTCCTACATCTGTGCCTCCCTCATTAATTCTATGCAGCCTTCTGCTATGAGAGTCCTGGTTTCCCTTATTAAAGCTATGGTATGCTAGCCATTTAGCAAAAAGCTCAGTTGAGATAAGAACCATATGGAATACACTTTAGGTTAATAAGCATTTACTTTAATATGTATTTAAATTTGCTTTATGGTACTTCATTGAACAAGAGCAAGTATCCTTAATGAGATATATTTTATGACGACTCTTTTCATTTTTTCTAGTTTAAAGAAGGGATGATAGTTTTAAAAATAATTTCCCTTTTATGCATAAGAGGCTACACCTGCAGTTGAGGTTTCAATGAGTTCTATTTGCTCACTTGCCTTTAGACTAGTGGTGGGCAAATTGTGGTTCTTCCATAGCTCCCCAATATCTATTTTCCCTCCAAAATATTTAGTGTGATTTTTGCCCCCAAATCACTCAGAATGTCTCCCAAAATGTAAAACAAAGCAGAAAAACAAACCCTTTACTATCCCCAAATACCTCTGATTCCCTTTGTAATTTGACAGGAATTGATGTACTGTCATTTCTGATTGCTATTTTGATAGAGACTGCAGAGCAGTGCTTCCCAAACTTTTTTTAAACTAGGGACCACATTGACCAGGCACCACTCCCCGACAGTAGTACCAAAAGGGTTATGAATCAGTTTTTGGTCAACTTTAGATTTGGTTTGGTTATTTGGACTGCTAATTCAGAAAATTGCATTGGATAGACAACATCAGCTGTAGTTTCTGATACAGAACATATGCCATCCAGTAGTTGCTATCTTCTTTCCCACAGAAAACCATATTTAATAAGCTAGAGCTGATGTGGTCTATTCAATGTAATTTTCTGAATCATCACCCCGAATAACCCCAGAAACAGGCCTAAAAATGAAGACACCAAGGTGCCCCTCCTTCCAGGTGCCACATGGAACAGCTCCACTCAGGGGGAAGGAGGACGAGAAGCAGCAGTTAGGGGGCTTGTTGTCACGCCTTTTGTGAATAGTCAGCCTCTCCCCTTCCAGCATCCCCAGTGCCTCAGCAAAATAAGTGGGTTTTGTGAGACCGGTTGCTCTAGTTTCAATGGTGTAGTAACAGTGAGGCCTCAAACCATATTTTAGTTCTTGGGGATCACTGGTGGTCCACAGACCACAGGTTGGGAACCGCTGCTGTAGAGGAAATCAGAGGTATTTCGGCTGTGTCAAATGCAAGGCCTATAGGCTGAATCCATTCCACCTTGTGGCCCATGATGCTTTCAATGCCAGGGCAATACAGTTATATTTATTCAGTCTTACAATTACAAATGGCCGTTTGAAGACAACCATAAGGCTGACGTGGCTTTCAGCAAAAATAAGTTTGACATCCCTGCACTCGGAGGCATGGGGTGAATGAAGCCCACTGCATGAATTTTTGATAATGCCAGGTGTGTGCTTTCTCACAATTATCACATTTACTAAGTCCCCATATTACCAGAACGATTTTGAAGAGCATTGTATTATGATTCTATTTCAGCTCTGCCCCTGCAAGATAATCATTTTTCTTATAATCATCCACTCTTCAAATCCTCTCAAAATATGATGATACCTTTGGCTCTTATAAGTGTTTTTTTTAAAAAATGTGACTTGCATTTCATTTTTCAAAACTAGCTATCAATTGACTCCTATTGCTGGTTACGTTATATTAGAAATTCCTGGAGCATTTTAATCTATAAATGTTAGGAAAATTAAAAAATGAAATGCCTAGAACTTCTCATTTTTTTAATTAAGAACTATCTTAGGTACCTGGCAATGCCCGTGTTAGGTAATTTAGTAAGGATAACATGTTTTTATTATTATTAATTTTAGCATTTTTGTTGAAATGCAGATAGATGGAAGATCGTCTTTCTTTTAATGCTGTTTTGTAAATTTTGTTGCTTTATTTTTTTTCTTTTAGGAATCATATTATTGGGACCTTTTGTAATCTTGTTTTCAGAGTTAAAATAATCTGCAGTCCTACTGCAGCTGCAGTTATTAAAGTCATGTTTGTTTGTACTGTTTTAAAGGGTGTTCCTGGTCCTGGCCAGTATGACATAAGAGGTCAATTTGAAAAGGGTAGTATAGCGCAAAGTGAATCTCGCCGTGTTCCTTTTCTTTCTCTTTCCCAGGTAAGAGATAATGTATATTTTTCAGTTATAAATAAAAACAGGATAGGCATCTTTTACACTGCCATATAAAATCCCTAAGCAATTGGTCCTCAAGAGCCTGCTAAGAAAAACATAGCTGCAAAGATAGCCGATCTAACCCCTCTGAACAAAGGAGTTTCAGGCTATGTGAGCAGTATAGCCTTCTGTATCTACACTAAATGTACTAGTGTGGGTGGTGGGACAGAGCGAACATATTTGCTTAAAGTCAGACAGTGGAGAAAATGCGTATTATTGCTTGTTCTACAAATTTAGCTCTCAAAATGTGATTATGAAAACTGAATGAGCTGAGACACTGAAGACACTGAAGACATTTATCTACATTGGAATGCATTGTCTAACAATTGTCTAACAATAAGATATACCATATATTTCAGATCCTTCAGATATGGGTGATATTTTTTATTTCTGAGAATGTCTGTACCTTCATAGTTGAGCCAAAGCTGTGCAGGAAGAAAGTCTCAAGCTCAGTCCCAGACATCTCCAATTATTTGGTTCTCAGAAGCAGTGCTAGAAAAGAGCTCTGTTTATAATGAGGAAAAGCCATTTCCAATCAACATATGTAGAACGAGTTGGACCAGTAGTTTTGTTTTATATGAAACCACAATATAGAGATATATCATTTTGTTATATATTTTGTTGTTCACATTATTTTACAATAAAGAACTATACATTTTGTTTACATCAAAGTGGGTTTATTTTCACCCACGTAAATATTTAATGTGACTTCTTGTCATTGATTTGCTGTCTTTCATATTTCCGTAGAGGTTTGCCCCAGTGAAATCAGCCACCCCAGCTCCTGGCACATATAATGAAACACGCTGTGCTCTTGAGTCCTTGAATAAAGCTGGTAAAACAAAAAATGTTCCATTTGGCCATACCTCTGTTCGATTCACCCAGGACTACAGGCTACAGAAAACACCAGGTATGCAACTAGTGTAAGCAAGTGGGGCATCTTGAAGTAGATCTAAGAAGTGTTCCAATTTAGATATCAAGATTGTCTGTGATGGGAATATTGTACTACATGATGTAGACTTGAAAGTTTTGTAGGTGGGCAGTAAGGGTGGAGTTTGATGGTGAGTAGAATGGTATGACGGAGAATGACCTGCTCAGACTTGAACATTTTATGACAGAGCAGCAAGTTGGTGGCAATGATGAAGGGGTAGTTCTGAAGACTAAAAATGGGGAGCATATCCTTTTTGGGGTCTTGGAACATCTATTACTCTTTGAAGAGGGGTACTTTTTCACTTCCCAGCATGCATCCTTATAACTACTCCTTCCAAGATAACCTTATTATGGATTGAAGAAGGCCAATAGCTTTCTTCTCCACTTGTTCCAACTCAAGTGTCACCTTGATGTCCTAGAAGCACAAAAGGTTCATATCAGGTGCCTTGGATCAGATTGTTTGGATAACAAAAATAATCTAACAATTGCATTTTTGACATACATGGAGTATTTTTAGTATTTTGGAGTAGCTGATTCGATTTCACTTTCCAACTGAAAGGCAGTAGGCACCCAGGTTTGTTATTATAGGGAGTCACTTGTTTTACCACATAAGGTGAACCTTATCTATTTTTGATCAGTCCAGCTTTGAAAATGGTCTATTTATTTATTTGCAATATTTGTATACTGCCCTTATCAACCCCGAAGGGGACACAGGGCGATCTAAACATTAATTATTTTAGACCATTATGCATGGTTCTCCAGAAATTGTAATATCTGAAATATGAGTTGGTTTCTGTTTCAATGTTGCTTTCAGCAGTTGAAACAATTAGAATACATATGGCTGTCCCTCAAGAGTTCATTTCTTCATATAGTGCTTTTAACTGAAATTAAAAAATATGAATGCTGAAATTGAGAAAAAAGGCTAAGGTTGAAATTTTATTGAACATGATATTGTGCAAGAGCATTCAGAATACTTTTTCTTGTTTCTACCACAAGCGGATCTTGCACTAGACCGGCTGCTTTCTGCTTAATACAGATACCAAATATTTCTACAAATACAGGCTGCTTAGGACACACTATTGCAATGAATATGGATATAGTGAATGGTCTGAATACTCATTGACCAGAAGCTTGACAAACTGTCTTGACAATACATAGTGGTCTCCAGTATCTTCTTGTTGTTGTTCATTCGTTCAGTCGTCTCCGACTCTTCGTGACCTCATGGGCCAGCCCACGCCAGAGCTCCCTGTCGGCCGTTACCACCCCCAGCTCCCTCAAGGTCAGTCCAGTCACTTCAAGGATGCCATCCATCCATCTTGCCCTTGGTCGGCCCCTCTTCCTTTTGCCTTCCACTTTTCCCAGCATAATTGTCTTCTCTAGGCTTTCCTGTCTCCTCATGATGTGGCCAAAGTACTTCAACTTTGTCTCTAGTATCTTATCTCCCCCAAAATTGGCAGATGGTCAGGAAGCCAGTTAGATTTAATTCAGATTAGGACAAATAGTAAGAGTAGTGAGGCTGGTGAAAACTGAAGTAGCATGGGGATAAAATTGCTCATTGGGAACCAAAACCTCATTAGCTATTGTCTTGCCTGTTGGTTTCTATTTCCTTTTACTGTGCTTTGCTTGTTGATATGTAAGAAGATACTCCAGGTCTGTAATGCTTTCTTTCAGCCAAAAGGAAGAAAGCTCTGTAGCACAGCCTCTGTTCATATTTTCCTCAGAGAAATGAATCATGTATAAAAATACATTAAGGTAGGGCTAGCACAAACCCATTAAAGAAACCCTTTTGTTTGCACTTATTGTGGGTCCCAATATAATGTTAGGTAGGTACAGTACTTCTAATTTTAATATCGGTTGAGAAATGGGAAAGTTTAAATTAGCTTGTAAATGTTGTTTTGTATTATTGTGTATTGCCTTGAGCATACACAAAAATCCAGTCCCAGAGTGGTATACTTTGAAATAAGTTGCATGGTGTGGAATTTACTTTTAAATAAATGCACATAGTGTTACAGACCTAGAATTTTACAAGTATACAACCTATGATTATCCAAGTGTGGAGATTTTCTAGGCCATTCAAAGTACTTAGATTTTATTGTAGGTACTTAACAGCACTTGCCAATGACATCTCCACATATTCTTGCACATCTGACAAGGTCACTCTTGCTGACAGGTAGAAAAAGCTATTTATCCTTGTGTTGCAGATCATGCTAGTTATCCTAAGAGTCTAGAGGTCATCAGCACTATGATATGACAGTCACTTCCAAAGACAAATAGTACCTATTAATGGCATTCCCAAGAGTATGTATGAGCTCTCTCTCTCTTTCTGTCTTTTAAAAGAATACTTTGAGTGAGTTTTAAACAAGTAACATACTACTAAATATGATAGTTGCAGGTACTTAGAAGAGAAATCTGTTGCGAGTGAACAGTTTTTCCAGTAAATTGAGGGAATTTCACTTTCAGTCTTGATAAAAGCACCTGTAATTTATTTTTTAAAAGAGTATAATGACCCTTTGTGTGTTCTTAAGTTACCTGCCTTGAGGACAGGCTTATGATGTATTTTCCCCCTCTGCTCGTTTTCTTTCTATAGCTCCTTGTCCTCTGTCCACAAATACATGTCTTTGCTTTTGTCCTCTAACCTGCAAGGAGTGTGTTCTTCAATATCAGCCTCTTTGTTGCTGAGCAGAACAGTTTATTGGATCCTCAGCTTTTAAATGTGCAGTTTCTTACCTGATCCAGACGTATGTTTATTATCGTCTAGAGTCATTATAAAGTTGTTGCATATACTTATTTTATTCACAACCTGCCTTTCTTTTGTGGATGTCCTGGTGTCAATGGCTTCCAGGTGTCATTCCATCCAGGCTAGATTCAGTCCTGCTTAGCTTATGGTCTCAAGGGTCTGGCACAGTGGTTCTCAACCTATGGATCCCTGGGTGTTTTGGTCTACATCCCCAGAAATCCCAGTCAGGATTTCTGGAAGTTGAAGGCCAAAACATCTGGGGACCACAGGTTGAGAATCACTGGTCTGGCACCTAGTAGGAAAGAATGGTATGAGATTGTACTCTTTCCCAAGTTATAAGTGTGCCAGGGAGAGAAATGGTGTCCACAGTGTCTCATTGCTTCTGACATCTCTGAAATATTCCCGGCACACAACTTAAAAAAAAAAAAAGAGATTGTATTTGTGGACTTTTCCTCAGATTCGGTGAGTGTTACACCACATATTTGTTTTAGCTAATATCCTGAATACCTAAAAGTCCTGGTATATTACAATTCCATTTGGTAGAAATATGAAAGTAACAAGTTTAGTATCTTATCTGAAAACTGACATAACTAAATCTGTAGTGGTCATAAAACTATAGTCAACCTTTCACGTTTTCTGGGACTGGGCACACAATACCCCATAAAACCGAAAAATTACGAATAAATAAATACTGTGTTTTTACCTGGGCGTGCACTTCTCTAGGAATTGTTAAGTCTTCCAGCACAACTCTATGGTCAGTTTTGCTGAAGGCTGGACATACAATTTAATTGGAGGATCTAGAAACTCCTAGAAATATGTTCTCTGTAGGAATTGTTTCTTTCAACATGACAGGAGGAGGTTGACCGTAGAGTTGTACATTTTCCTGGTTTTAGCATTGTTTGCCATGGGTGATGTAGTGGGTTAAACCACTGAGCTGCTGAACTTGCTGACTGAAAGGTCGGCGGCTTGAATCAGGGGAGCAGGGTGAGCTCCCACTGTTAGGCCCAGCTTCTGCCCATCTAGCAGAAAACATGCAAATGTGAGTAGATCAGTAGGTACCGCTTTGGCAGTAAGGTAATGGCCCTCCGTGCAGTCATGCTGGCCACATGACCTTGGAGGTATCTATTGACAACACTGGCTCTTTGGCTTAAAAATGGAGATGAGCACCACCCCCAGGGTTGGATGCAACTAGACTTAATGTTAAGCGAAACCTTTACCTACTACCCACTTTGAGTCTCTTTTAAGAGAGAGATAGAGATAGTGGAGAACCTAGAAATTCCAGGAGGGAACTTTTAAAATCAAATTGTAAATAATCAAATCAGCAAAAGTCAAACTACAAATGTAGTGGTATGGCTGTACTTTTTCCATTAAAATTAAAGCAAGCAGCATGATACATCTTAATGGGATTATGTTTGTATATGAAAGTTGCAATTCCGCATGCAGTTAAATGGAGTTGACTTCCATGTAATTTAAGCAACTATAACAGGGATTAGGATTGTATGTGTGTAATTTTGCTTTCATGGAAATTTGTTTCTAGAATTTCAATTTTTAGCTAATAATGGTCAAACAAATAAAGCTTTTATGCTTATAAAATTTCCTTGTGAATTCTTCCAGGTCCTGCATTATATAATGTCCCCAACTACAGAATTGCAGCTGAAAGTCTGAGAAAGGAAGCTCCAGAAAAAAAAAAGAAAGGAGCATTTGGTTCTTCAGTTCCTAGACTCTTATATTTAGTTAAGAGGGAAGCTTTTAGTACTCCTGGTCCAGCTGATTATCAGGTAATTTGGATTTATTTTATTTAAGTCTCATAAAAAACAACCATGCATTGAGTGCCTCTGATATATTTTTGGCCCAGTGGAGTTTATAGTACATGTGAACAAATGAAATGCTCAGGATCCAAACTGCGAGAGCCAGAATAGACATGTTCCCATAAGCGAAACACTTATTTTGTGAAGCTGACACACTTCCTTTTCTGTCAAAATAGGTAACCAAGATATTTTTTGTTAATTTCTCATAAAAACTCTACCATTGTTATTTCTAACTACAAATAACAACAACAAACCTCCTAGCAAACATCCCCAAATTACGAAAAAAGGCCATAAATCCTAAAGGAAAACAGCTGTTTCATGTCCATGAAGACATAATATTAATTGTATGGTGTTGTTGTTCATTCGTTCAGTCGTCTCCGACTCTTCGTGACCTCATGGACCAGCCCACGCCAGAGCTCCCTGTCGGCCGTCACCACCCCCAGCTCCTTCAAGGTCAGTCCAGTCACTTCAAGGATGCCATCCATCCATCTTGCCCTTGGTCGGCCCCTCTTCCTTTTACCTTCCACTTTCCCCAGCATAATTGTCTTCTCTAGGCTTTGCTGTCTCCTCATGATGTGACCAAAGTACTTCAACTTTGTCTCTAGTATCCTTTGTATGGTAGGATGCTTTTATAACCCAATAATGAAATAGTTTCTGAGAAGAGAGGCATCACCTCATGAAAGCCCAGCTGCTCTACAGAAAACTAGAGTCACCTGGACATTGCAGTGGTTCTTGCAAGCAAATTTTCCATAATCTAATGTAGAAGTAAGAGTGAATGGGGGTGAGAAGGGGTTTGTTCTGTCAAATGATGCCAGTATGTTATAACTCTTCCTGTTAAAAATATGAAAAAAATTGTATTTTGTCCAATCTAGAAATATAGTTCATGTGTTGTACCAAGATTCTGGCCCAAGTAAACATCTTTCAGAGGATATCATATTTTTACCTTGCTAGCTAAAGGTAAAGGTTTTCCCCTGACATTAAGTCCAGTCGTGTCTGACTCCGGGGGTTGGCGCTTATCTCAATTTCTAAGCCAAAGAGCCAGCATTGTCTGTAGACACCTCCAAGGTCATGTGGCCAACATGACTGCATGGAGTGCCATTATCTTCCTACCGGAGTGGTACCTATTGATCCCTGAATTTGAATCGGCGACCTTTTGTTCGGCAAGTTCAGCAGCTCTGCAGTTTAACCAACTGTGCCACCGGGGGCTCCAGCATACTTTTGTGGTATTGCTGATCATTGATAACTGATAGCTAGAAGACCACACATACAAAAATAATTCCACATTGTAATAAATGCAGAAGTACAAATGGCTGAATACCAGAAATTGTACAAAGTAGAACTAAAAATAGAAGGGAAGCTCATTACTCAGTAGCTAATAATAGAATGGTGACATCAAATTCTGTGAAAAGCAACTCAAAGACTTCCAGTGCTGTTTCTTCATTTGCTTCCTTCGTTGGCATTAGGCATCCCCAAATGTTGGTTTTGGCTGAACTTTGGTGAGCTCTGTATAACCATCTGTGCCAAATCTTCCTCATGATCTCTGCCTCAAACAAATGAGTTATTCTGTGCTTGTACCACTAGTTCTCAACCTGTGGGTCCCCAGATGTTTTAGCCTTCAACTCCTATAAATCCTAACAGCTGGTAGGGATTTCTGGAAGTTGTAGGCCAAAATACCTTGGGATCCACAAGTTGAGAACCACTGGCTCTAGGTGACTCCCCTCCCCCCCAAATTGCACATGGTCTTAGTCCCTTTCCAGTAATCACCCCACTCCAATTTCATTAATTTATGTAGCATCATTCTTAGAAACCGGTTCCTTGAAATTAGAGCTAATTTATTTTTTAAAAGAAGATCTTTATTTTCTTTTACTTCATTTTTTTTGCTTCTGTTAGATCTGTTTCCTACCTTTAGCTTCCTTTAGCCTCTTTAATAAGTGTGTTAGTTATTATACACTTCTGTGGAGTTTTAAAGGGTAAAGGGCTTAATAGACTGCTGTGACTAACATCCGTGAAAAGTTTTGCTTTGATAAATATTAATATTTAAGGTAACACAGTTAGCTATTTCTCGTCGTCATTTGTTGCAACAGAGTAAGATGTCTATTTCACTGTTAGGTACTTCTACAGTATTTTTCTCAATTATAAAATTCTCTCCAAATGAGAAAAAGATGCTTAAGTGACTTGAAGAATTAAATGGATTAATTAATTTGTAAATACAGAGAAATAAGTATACAGTTATTGAAAAATAAGTAACATTTTCAGCACTTATAACTCTACAACCAAGAAAAACACACACACATATATAAAGGGAGAGAGAGAAACAGATTATTTTTCAAGTGGCATCCATTAATTAGCATAGGATCTCTTTCCTCTTTTTCTCTCATGTTCCATATTATCAAACATATTAAGTATGACTACCTAAGAGCCTCATTAACATTCCCTGACAGCTTAATTTAACAGAATTATAATCATATGGGGAGGAACTGAATACATATTACCAAATATGTTCGTTGTAGGAACAATTTTCTTCAGCATTTCTCAAATGCAAATAATTTTCCCCCTTAGGTCTTAATCAAGCTGAATAGCTAACATATATTATCATTAGAAGTTATCATAGATAAATTTAGAGATGGGGCTTATGATGGCAGGAGGTGGTGGAATGTACTATTAACATAAGAGCAGACTCATCAAATGTTGTTAGCCATCATTTAAAAATAACTAAAGCTAAATTAAAAGTATTTCGTTTCTAGCAAAATCCTCATATTCAAGTATGTAGAATTTGTTACATGTAAATTATCTCTTCAAATATATTTAAAAATAGAGGCCAAGATCCAGTTCAGTTCTGGCAGAACTTCAGGTATGTTAATACATATTGCAGTCTCAAATGAGAATGCAAAGTGTGTATCTATCTGGTGTGCATGTGATGTACATAATTTCTTGATACAAAACCTGGAGTTAGGGTTACACAGTCATGTAGGAATGTTTGATGGTTATATCACACCAACTAGGGTGGTACAAACCAAAGAAGATTGTGACGACTTTTTTAAAAAAACCTCTTCAAACTTGTGGGGGAGGATAATTAAGTTTTAAAAACATGAAATTGAAATTTGATAAGAACAAGATTAAAGTGATGCATATTGGGCATAAAATCCCAGTTTCAAATACATTCCAATGGGATGCGAGCTGGCAGCAATTGACTAAAAAAATCTGGAGTGGTCATGACTGATATATAAATAATAATAAAACTTTATTTGTACACCACCCTATCTCTCCAAGGGGACTCAGGGAGGTATCCAACATACAAGGCAAACCATTCAGTTGCCTCAAAGGAATAAATAAATTAAAATAAACATTATAAAATATAAAATCCTGCTAAAACATACACATTTTTAAAAAATAAAATAAAATATCTTGATAAAAATGCAAAAAAATATAATAAAAATATTTTTGGAGTTTGGAGCCATTTTTATGCCGATGACACACAACTCTATTACTCATTTCCACCTAAAGCCAAGGAAGCTGCCTAGGTCCTGAACCAATGCCTGGCAGGTATGATGGGCTGGATGAGGGCTAGTAAACTGATGCTTAATCAGACAAGACAGAAGTCCTCCTTGTCAGTCAGGAGGCTGATTTGCATATAGGGTGGCAACCTGGGCTGGACAGGACAACACTCCCTCTAAGGACACAGGTCTGCAGCTTGGGGGTCTTCATAGATTCAGTGCTGACCCTTGAAGCTCAGGTGTCAACGGTTGCTGGGATGGCGTTTGCACAATTAAAGCTTGTGCACCAGCTGCACCCATACCTCAAAAAGCAGATCTGGCCACAGGGGGTCCATGCCTTGGTTACATCTTGGATGGATTATTGCAATGCACTCTATGTAGTGCTATCTCTGAAGGCAGCTCAGAAATTACAAAGAGCACTAGCCAGGTTATTAACAGGAACTAACTACAGGGAACATACCACCCCCTGTTAAAACATCTCCACTGGCTGCTTACGTTTTTCCGGGCCCAATTAAAATACAGGTTATTAATTATAAAGCCCTACAACGTTTGGGGTCTGGTGTATTTGCATGACCACATCTTCCCTATTAACCTACCTAGGCCCTGAGGTCTGCCAGAGAGACCCTTCTCATGTTCCCACCTCCATGACAAGCACAGCTGGTGGGGATGAGGGAAAGGGCCTTCTCAGTGGTGGCCCCCTGGCTTTGGAACGCCTTCCCCAAGGAGATTAGACTAACTCCCATGTTAACAACCTTTAGGAGGCAACTGAAAACATACCTCTGGAAGCAGGCTTGCAAAAATAGTTAATTGCAATCTAAGTGATGGAGGCTCAAAAAGAGACTTTAAACTGGATCTTATAGCCTTTTAAAAAAACAAGAGTAGGTTTTATGATGGTTTAGTGTATCACATGTTTTTCTTATTACATAGTTTTATATTTATGATTAATTTATCATGGTTTTGTCCTTTTTTCTTATGTATCATGATTTATTTTTCTTATTTGCTGTTTTAGTTTTAACTTTCTCTGGATCGTATATGTGATTATTATTATTTACATTGTTTTTCCTTGTTGTAAGCCTCTCCGAGTAATGAGTAACTTTATGTACTCAAACTTTAGGTCAAAGAGACCACTGAAGAGCCACATAAAAAGAAGAAGCAATTATCTGTTTTTGTTTCAGCAACAGAAAGAATTCCAGAAATTAGTAAGGTAAGATGTCTCCAGATTGGTTTTGATTCCTTTCAAATGCATAACATTCTCTATCCTGCTCTAAAAAGTGGAGTAGCACCTAAAGCTATGTAGTTATATTTTCTGTGACTATGGAACATGTTTGATAAGATTTTTAAGGGACAGCTCAAAGGTTCGTATAACGATGCACTTGATATTTGTATATTTATATCAAAGCAAAGCAAAGTTTAGTGATTAGCCCACTGACCATATCAATATTAAAAACAGAAACAGAAACGTACACAAATAAACAATAATCACTATCCTAAGACTCCCATAATAGTGAACTAACATACATTCAAACTTGAACATTTATTTATACCATTAAAGAGTGAATCAATGCAAATTTGTGAATTTAACAAACAAATGAGTAATCAAATTATCATGACACACCATATAGCATATCTCTTCAGTTAAGAGCTGTGGTGTTAATTAGATAAGCATCTGCCTTCCCTATGGTATGTAACTGAGAGACAGGTGTTTAATTGAGGCTATTTAAGAGAGGTGTTAATTACACTTTGCATTTTAGGATGCAAGCTTGGATTGAAAGGTAACAATTTCTCTCTTGTGTAAACAGTCACATTTAGAATAATACACTATTATATTGGAGACCGAGTCTGTGGACGCACATTTCAGGTCACTCACTCACTTGAAATGTTAAAAATATTGGCATATATCTTGGAAACAGGATTAATGTTTATTTAGTCAAATAATTTAAAAAATCTATTTTTTTCTGATTTTTTCATCATATGAACAATATGATGATTCCAGGAATGGATCAACTTTAACAGACCCTTGTATTATCTCAGGCCCTGTGGATTCTGTCATAGGTTATCACTAATTTACTTTGGCTAGTCATGGATGGATCTTGCAGGTTCTCCGAGCACACATTTTCATGCAAATCAAAGACAAGCAACAAAGAAAAATATAGTTGCAATCTAGATAAACTGACCTTGTAAGTGAATGGCAGCCCTTTAGAAGAAAACATATCACATATTAGGAATATGTGTCGTTAAAGGATACTATGTAGAAATGCTGGTCTTCCAGGTATGCACTTTTGTGTTTTGGGTTATTCTCCTGGGACTGAGCAGTTGTTGACATGAGTTTGTCAACAATTGTAATGCCAGCTAGTGCCTTTAACATTTCTCAAAGAGAAGAATCATTGATAAGTAAAAGGTGTCTTAAACTCTGAGAAATCTCTTAAGCTAAAACCTGTTTCTGCTTATCTCATACCTTTAATAGTGTAGTTCTGATCTGAATTGGCACAGTCTTCCTGGGATCTGGTTTGTTAATCCAGATCCAATCTCTGTGTTAAGTATTTTTGCAATGCTTCTAGTATTTTTTTATCGTGTCAGAAGCGACTTGAAGGTATAGTTAACATGTATTTAAAAACACAAACAAAGTTTAAAACTTAGCATTATCCTAAATGTTCTTTGACCAGAAGCTGGCCACTTGGAGTGCCTCTGGTGTCACTGTGAGAAGGTCCTCCATTGTAAATCTGGCAGGGCTCAGGTTGCATTGTAGTAGGTGGTCTGTGGTTTGCTCCTCTCCGCACTCGCATGTTGTGGACTCCACTTTGTAGTCCCATTTCTTCAGGTTAGCTCTGCATCTCGTGGTGCCAGAGCGCAGCCTGTTCAATGCCTTCCAGGTCGTCTACTCTACTGTGTGCCCAGGAGGGAGTTTCTCATCCGGTCTCAGCCACTGATTGAGGTGCTGGGTTTTAACTTGCCACTTTTGGATTCTCGCTTGCTGAGGTGTTCCTGCGAATATCTCTGTAGATCTTAAGAAGCTATTTCTTCATTTAAGCCTTTGGCATGCTGGTTGATATCCAAACAGAGGATGGGCTGGAGATGCCAGAGGCAACTTGTAGAATGGTTCTAGTACTCAAGCATGAATATCCTTGGTAAATATGCAACAACTATATTAATTGTGCAAAAATAGTGCATAATATCTAACATTTTCTGGATATAGTTGTTATTGTATGAGCTGTTTCTTGATGTTAGGTGCTCTATAATTAAAAATAAAAGAATATTATAGGCAATTGCTTTATCTCCCTATAATAACTATATGACCAAAACATGAGAGGAGCGTAATCATATCTGTTTATGTTTTACCAATCAAAGGAAAATTAAACTGACTTTATTAGTTTAACATTATTTTCCCTCTTCAGTGATATCCCAAAATACTGTATCTCCCAATATTTGGATGGTCCTGGCTGAATATTTGTGGTCTTTAGCCATTTTTAAATGGGAGGCAGATTTGTCAAACAATGTAATAACTTGAAATTGAGATTCACAAGCAAACAATTTTATATGTGCTCCAGGGAATAGTTGTTTCAGCAATATTATGTTTGTTTGTTTTTTGGGCTGTCCTTTGTCTACAAACCTCTCTTGAGTTTGTGCAATTATTACTTTTGCCAAATGGTACACATAGGAGAATACTTCCTGCCCTCTCATCCAGAAACTGCCATTTAGACATGGGAAATTGCTTTTGTGCTTCATCAGCAAAATGTGAAGTAGGACTATAGATAGAAAGGCTTTTAGTCTGTTGTTCAGCATCTTGGCTGGCCATTCCTTACAGTTCAGGAATCTCCCATGTGGAATTCTTTCCCTCTCCTATATCCTTTCAGGATGGCCTATGTTTTCCCCCTGTTTATTGTAGCATAAAATATTGCTTTGTTAAGAGTTGTTTCCTACATATTACAGTACTGGTAATGTCTTCCAGGTTCGCTCCTTCCTAATTTCTATAGTTACTGAAATGGTTTGGAGAAGTAAGTGGTACCCCAGTAGAATATTTTCATGGTGACTTCAGTGGAAATTATAACTCAAGTAATCTGTGAAGTATGGAATCATCCACAATACATTTTCATAGTCTCCCCTTGTTTGGGAAAAAGTACTTAGAATAAGATTTTTCCCTGTCTGATGGCTTCCTGTGGGAAACCGTGATTATTGCTGACAGTAGTATTTTTGCAACTAATATCCTTAACAGACGGACCATTAGTATTTGCTTAGTGTATAATGATGACCAGATGCTCAGAAATTTAAGCTTCTATTCTTGAAAAATGATTTACTATGCTGTCTGTGCCAGCAACAAAACTTTATTGTAAATGAATCCAATAATGCACTCAGTGATGATTCGTACAAAGGAAAACATATGCAAAAACAGAAAGAGTCCATTAATAGTTATACTCACCATACATGAGTTGTAATCCCGCCACAGAACAGCTGTAATAGATTTTACTACTAATATAGAATACATGCAAGGAGATATATTACTGTAAATGAAGATCAAATTGAGGACAAAGAGCATTATTTGGCTATGAATAATACAACTTATATTTTAGGAATTTGCACCTCAGTGCATCAGGAAGGATATTTCCACATCATTAAAAAGTTTGGATTGCTTGACAATCATCTACCCTGCTATGGACTTAATTCCCGTAACATATACTAGGGCTGACCGTTCATTCTCATCTGCGGTTACCTCTCATTGCTCCAGTAACGGTTCAAAAATACAACTCAATTCATATAGTATTTTTTTACCATATACTTGTGTATCAAACAGTATTACTCCCAAGGGAGAGAATATAGCTTGAGTTATGCAAACCTATGGTTATGATTAACAGTGTGGCTAGAAATCCATTTAATGGCATGGCAATTACAGGGGAGGAAGGGAGCAGCATTGATGTACACATAAAGGGCTCCTTGAAATAACATGAAACAATTTTATTGAGTTGGTTGACTTTTAGCCCAATCTGTGTTTTTGTGTTATCTAGCTGGCACCACTTTATCCTGGCCCAGTGAGTCACTTATCCAGCATGACTATAGACATCAGCTTATAGAACTGACTTCAGTCTTAGATGCTTTTGTGCTGAGGGCTGACTCAAAAGCAGAAAGTGACAATGGAAAACCTTGGCAGAGGGATGGGATACTGTCTGTGTCAAGCAAGGCAAGTTGTCACCCCAAAGGAAAGCACAAGAAGATGGACAAGGTAGAGCAGTGGTTCTCAATCTGTGGGTCCCCAGATATTTTGGCCTTCAACTCCCTGAATTCCTAACAGCTGGTAAACTGGCTGGGATTTCTTGTAGGCCAAAAGACCTGGGGACAAGGAGGTTGAAAACCACTGAGGTAGAGGATCTAGTGAGCTTTATGATAGCAGCCTTCGGGTGCCATGTATCTTAAGAGTTGCTGTAAGTTTTTTGGGCTGTATGGCCATTTTCCAGAAGCATTCTCTCCTGATGTTTTTCCTGCATCTCTCCTGATGTTTCACATCTGTTGGGGGTAGGTATGAATGTTTCAATAGGCCACTTTGATTAGCATTTAATGGCCTAGCAGTTTTCAAGATATGGCTTCTTACTGCCTGGGGGCATCCTTTGTTGAGAGGTGATTAGCTGCCCCTGGTTGCTTCTTGTCTGGAGCTCCCCTGTCTTTATTTACTGTTACGATTTTAGAGTTTTTTTAAATACTGGGAGCCAGATTTTGTTCATTTTCATAGTGTCCTCCTTTCTGTTGAAATTGTCCACATGCTTTTGGATTTCAATGACTTCTCTGTGTAGTCTGACATGGTAGTTGTTAGAGTGGTCCAGCAGTTCTGTGTTCCCAAATAATATGCTTTGTCCAGGTTGGTTGTTCAGCCTTTGACAACATTTATCTTAACTTTGGGCTAGCCAAATGAGGAGAATGGTTGACTAAGGCAAACATCCTCCCCAAGATGAAACACTGAGAGCTCCGTATCCTTCCCACTACGCCATCTCTAATGGGAGACTTCAGTTATATGGAGAGACTACCTGCAAATAGTTCTTCCATGTTGGGATCTTTTTAGCTGTTGTTACATTACCTTACTGGTATATAGATCCAAAATGGATTTGTTTGTTCCTGTCCTCCAAAATAGATGTTATAATTTGATACTGCTTTGGTGTATATTTAAATAGGAAATTATCCTAAGAATTAAGATTCACATGCTTTTCCAAGCCATCTTGTGTC